GATTCTATGATCCACCTTGCGTGCCAAGAGTCCCTGTCCCACTTGCAGGGCTGACGCACAATGCCATGGCCATGTTTTATATAAACAAGCAAGGCAGTGCCTGGTCGTCTCCTCTCTGTCAGGAAGCCCTCCTACTATGGGAATTCTGTCTAGCCCCCTCCATCCTTCTCCAAGCTTCATACCGGCCGGGCATTCAAAATGTACTGGCAGACAGCTTGAGCAGACGATTCCTTACACATAAATGGTCGATTCGGCCAGATGTTATCCACTCCATCTTCCCCGAATCAATCTGTTTGCCACACAGGTCAACAGGAAGTGCCCAACCTTTTGTTCCTTCTGGGGTCACAGCCCTGGCTTCATTGCAGATGCCTTCCTGATTCCATGGTCCAATCAACTATTCCCACCATTTCCACTCATCCACAAGTAATTTCTCAAGGTCTGCAGGGACAAGGCAGATGTCATTCTGGTGGCCCCAGCTTGGCCTCACCAGCGCTGGTACCCCGCCCTCATGGACCTGTCGATCCGGTCACCAATCCGCTTACCTCTCACTTCTGACCTCTGTGACGGATTAGATCACAGAAACCCCTTGGGAGCTGCCACCCGATGTGCCAAGATCCCGCAGCCCCGCTTCCCCAGCTGGAGTGCCGGCCCGAGCCCCGTGGCCCCGCTCCCCCGGCCGGAGCGTGGCAAACCCCGCTGTAAGGCTCCCGCGGTGGGAGCCCCGCAGCCCCGCTCACCCAGATGGAGCACCAGCCCAAGCCCATCGGCCCCGCTCCCCCGGCCGGAGCACTGGCCCGAGCCCGGCGAGCCCCGCAGCCCCGCTCCCTCGGCTCGACTTGCCGACCCGAGCTTGGCAAGCCCCGCGGCCCCGCTCCCCCAGCCGGCGTGGCGGCCCGAGCCTGGCAAGTCCTACGGCCCTGCTCCCTTGGCTAGCATGCCGGCCCAAACCCGGCAAGCCCTGCAGGCCCGCTCCCCTGGCCGGAGCACCGGCCTCAGCCCAGCAAGCCCCGCGGACCCACTCCCGCGGCTGGAATGCCGGCCTGAGCCCAGCAAGACCCACGGCCCCACTCTTCCAGCCGGAGCACCGGCCCGAGACCGGCAAGCCCCGCAGCCCCGCACCCCCGGACGGAGTGCTGGCTCAAGCCCTGCGGATCCGCTCCCCCAGTCAGAGCGGCGGCCTGAGGCCTGCAAGCCCTGCGGCCCTGTTCCCCCGGCTGGAGCACCGGCCCGAGGCCTGCAAGTCCTGCGGACCCGCTCCCTTGGCTAGAGCACTGGCACAAGCCCTGCAAGCCCTGTGGCCCCAGTCCCCCAGCCGGAGTGCTGGCCCAAGCCCCTCTCCCCTGGACGGAGCACCGGCCCAAGCCCGGCAAGTCCTGTGGCCCCGCTGCCCCAGCTGGAGCGCTGGCCTGAGCCCTGCAAGCTCCGCGGCCCCGCTCCCCCGGCTGGAGTGCTGGCCCCAGCCCGCCAAG